GTGGGGGCTGGGCTCTGCTCCCGGGGAAGGAGCGACAGAACCAGAGGGAACGGCTGCAAACTGCAGCAGGGCAGGGTCACCCTGGGCAGGAGTAGAAACCGTCTCCCAGCAAGAGGGGTCAGACACTGGCACAGGCTGCCCAGGGAGGGGCTGAGTCCCCACCCCTGGAGGTGTTTGGAGGCCGTTGAGATGTGGGGCTGGGGGAGATGGGTTAGGGCTGAGCTCTGCAGAGCAGGGTTAGTGGTTGGGCTCGGTGATCCCAAGGGGCTTTTCCAACCTGAATGATTCTATGATTCTATGGTGATCCTTCACCCCGGTATATCGCACACCTGGAGGAGTTCCATTTGTGAACCAAGGTGTGATTTATCTGTGGGGCTCAGTTTTTCCCTGTAGCCATCACTGCTCCTGTATGCTCCCAGTGAGCTTCATTGCCCTGCAGTGGTAGGTGTGTACGGTAGCATCACATTTATTGTTGAGCTGGGTTGTGTGTGCGTGCGTGCAGTGAAGTCCCTCGCATGCAGCACTTCCCTCTGTGCATTTTGTGCTGGAACATGAGAAACCCATTAGGCTATGTATAAGGTTTCCCACCTTCCATCTGCTCAGTGAACTGCACCGGGCTCAGCTGTCTCGGATGTGTAAAGGTTAATGGTTGCCTTTCTTTCTGCAACAGCTTCATCTGTGCTCTTTTGCTTTCTAAATTGCATATCTTGCTGCCCATGGTTTTACATATCTGATTATTTTGTGGGCTTGCATAAAGATGATAGGAAGCATTCATCATCTCCTGGTAGCTTCTTTTGGAGGGTGGATATATCAATGTGGTGTTTTATCTGCTGTAAAACAATGCAAGGTGGATTCTTTTGTGTTATTTCCCTCACAGTCTGTTGGCTTTGGTGGGTTTGTCTAGCTACAGCTTCTCATTCTATAATTACTGTTCTTACTTGGATTAGGGCACTACATGATAATTTAAATGGTTGTTACCTAAATTGATATCGCAGTTCTGGGATGTGTTTGATGCATGGAATCAGGTCGCTTCTGGCAGTGTGCGGAGTTTATTTGCGATAAAGCAGGGTTAGTCCTCGTTTAGATGAAGCTGTAAATATTTAATGAAAGTTTTTCTGAGAATGAGCTTGAGCATAGCAATATCACCTTTGGCTTTGGCATAATTTTTTGTCAACTGTGTCAGTTCATCCTGCAGTTACTCTGAGTGTGTTCCCAGTTGTATCCCAGAGAATATAGTAGCAGCTGTCACATTGGGTTGGATATCCTTACTGACAGTCAAGAGACGTGTCGTCTTCCCTCTCATTCTGTTCTGAAGTTCGCTGACCTCGGTCTGCGTTCATGTATGTTTTCATCAGATGGGATTCTGAGTTGCTTTGGGCCATTTGCGTATTTAAAAATACACTAGGATAGGTTTTCTTTCACTGTGTCATGTCCACCCTCAGTTTGTATTGGCCTGGTGCAGCGAGAAACAGGTGTAATTCCAGTCCTTTTTCTCTGTGGCATATTATTTACTCATTTTTGTATAGTTTTTAGGTGTTCTGCTTTATAATGCATTATCTAAACACACAAGACTTGTGTTAATCCTGCGTTACTTCATGTCTGACTCTCAAACACAAACACTTCTTGCTTCTGAGATATACAGTCAAAAGGAAGGAGGTAGCTCTGGAGCATCTGGGCGCTGAGTGAGTCAGAGCATGTCATGATTGTATTTATGCTTGTATAGTTTTGTATTTAATCCCCCTCATTGTTGGTCAAGTTAAAAAAAAAAGGCATCTCTAGTCAAGAAGTGTGTTCTTACCACATAAGATTTAAAGTCA